GTAATCTAAATATTTAATATTGCATATTCTATTATTTAGAACCAAAAATGCCATAAAGTCCTGATGTAACTTTAAAAAAAAAAAAATTGCGACACCTAAAATTAAGGGCTCCTTCCAAAGTGTGTGTATATGTATATATGTATATATATATATATATATATATATATATATATATATAAAACCAAGAGGGTTGCACTCACCTGAACATGCATACATTATAGGGTGCTGCTGGGGCCAATAATTACAACATACAAAATACACAATCCAGCGCACTCACTTATATACTAAACAATGATTTCAAATCTTACAGATTGTAATATTTTTTTTAAAAAACACCTCATCTAGGCAAAAAAATATGAATCTCATAAGAGCAAGCATTAGGCTGTTAGAGTAGGACCTGCCAAGAATGGGGTACATTGATGTTGTGGCAGACTTATATAATATATAATGTATGATCATAATATGTAACTAAACACCCATTATTTTTTGCCAAGGTGAGGTGTTTTTAAATAAAACTATTACAATCTGTAAGATGTGAAATCATTGTTAGTGAATAAGCGAGTACGCTGGTTTGTGTATTTTGTATATTTTGGCCCCAGCAGCACCTTATAATGTATGCATGTTCAGGCGAGTGCAGCCCTCTTGGTTTCATTTATATATCTGAGAGTCCAGTCCAACTCCTTGGTTTTGCACCCCTCCCTGTCACAGGTGAGGTGTTTTTAAATAAACTATTACAATACGTGAGATTTTAAATCATTGTTTAGTGAATAAGCGAGTGCAATGGATTGTGTATTTTGTGTGTGTGTGTGTATATATATATATATATATATATATATAAATACTTTAGTTTATTGCCCCTCTCACTATTAAGGTGAGTGGTGTAAGCCGGTATTGATTTATTGGTGGTTAGCCAGGGGCTTGGGAACCCATAGCCACACTTATCACAATATGTGAACCCCACCTCCCCCCTTAAATATTTAATTCTATCCCCCACCTAATGCCTACGGGTGGCTGGGGGGAACACAATAGGCCCTACTGGGTTATTCTTATTCTGACTGTAAGACCCAGCAGATAACAAGAGATGTGAGCCAGTAAACTAACCAGAAAGTGAAAGAATAATGCTGGATTCCGTGATAGCCAATCAACTCTCAGTATGGAGGCCAACAGAATAGCCAGAAAGTAGAGGAAAATTCTTAACTGGGTATGGGCCAAGTAAATGGATCATCCCCTTTCTCTGCAGCTGCATAGTGTAATGGGAAGGTTGGATCATTTGTATTGCAGGACTTGTATGGGTGAAGACCTCATAAAAACCTAGAATCAATATGCACTAGGCATGTCTCTCACAACCAAGCTTGGAAACGCATATACCAATGGATCAGACTCTGTGACTAAAATGGTTATGATGCATTAGGGTATGGATAGAATTTTGGGTGACCTGGGGTTCATAAAGTAACACACCTTGATGGAGTGTCTTGAGAATGGTGAAAAAGGTCAGTATTGACAAAGCCTGAGAGAGGACAACACCTCCATCTGGGCTTGGTCTATCGCAGGAGCAAAATAGAGCATCTTTGTGTTCTGTCATGGCCTCACAGAAGCCACAAATGAACTTGGAACTTGCATCTTCTGTAAGAGATTCCTATATCGGAGTATTTGTTTCTCCCTTGGTCGAAGAGGACAACTCAGAAATAAACCCTCTGCTTCTGGCGCCTACAGGAATATAACTTCGGCAACATACAAGGATCAGACAGACAGGTAGCAAAACAGGAAAAACACAGATTGCTGCTATCTTACAATAATATAGCCTGAACTTAGTTTTAATATACGGAAATAAAACATTTCCATTATTGTTTCATTTTTAATACACTCATTAAATGTTTGCAAAATCCAACAGAGATGTAAAAAAACAAACAAACAAAAACACCAAAAAAAAAGCACTTTATTTGCTGATTATATTGTTTCTTAGAATCTTAAGAAAATATTCTATTGTATCCTTTCCTTTGCGAAGCACAGCAAATGAGGCTGTAGTTCCAACATATCTGGTTTATAACAACCCTTGAGATTGCTGTTACCTAAAAAGGCAGACCATGCTTTGTGTAAGAAGGCTGTTAATACCTTAGCTGCTTCCACACTGATGAGTCTTAAAATTGACCATGTCCAAAGGTCATAACGAAAGATTTGCTGAGCCAAGAAAAAACATTTTTTTTTCTTGTTAATTTTTCCCTATTTTTCCCGCATATGTTAACTTCATGTTGACTTCTAGGCAGGAAAAACATGTTCAAAGTAAACTTGCATGGTTCTTGTAACTGAGCTCCTGTACTCCGACCAAGTTCTTTTACCCAGACTGCTTCCTAGCCGCTTACTGGGACCCTTGAGCGTTTCAACTCCAGTCTCTCTGGAGCTTTTCCAGTTTTCCTCCCAGGCAAGTATTGTCCCCTCTGCAGTCATTCTTCCAGGCAGGTATGCACCTCTGCCTGCAATGTGATAGCTCCTGTTTTTATAAAGACACTTGCGGCTCTCAGGCCTAAGTCTCCTTTGCCCCGGGTTAGAGGGATCATGCATCCAGCCAACAGATACAACAACTCAGTTACTTAGATCTCTAAAAATCCATACAGAATGCACAGTTTCAAAATTAACTAACATACAAAACTTATTTTTTTTTTTCTCAGGACTAGCCCATATGCTCCTTACATGTAACTTATGGTGAGAACTCAACAAAAATACAAATAATGAAATCATATCAGACAACTTACAGGGACTTATAATAACATTAAATATTTATAAAGGAGCGGGGAAGACAATAATTAACACAAAATAGCTCTCCTGCCTGCAGAATTAGCAATATGCAAATCTACCTGAATATGTAAATTAAAAAGGAGCCCAGTATGGCGCTGGAAAAAGGTGAGTAAATCGTCTTTCAAACCCCAGGTAAGAGGGACCAACCACCTAAACGATGGTTTTAAAACTATAGTGTCAGGAATATACATTTGTTTTCCTAACCCTATAGTTGCCCCTTTAAGAATACATTTTTATTTACCTACTTTGATTCGTTTTATTCAATAATGCTTACAAAAGTCTCCCTCCCATAATAATTACCAACCTGTGCTTGACTTTTATTTTATGATTGGTTGATCCTTTTTGCACATTCTTTTATCTTTCTTACCTCTACATTTGGTGAAGTTACGCTCTAAGCACCCTGCATTGTTGGTTTTATGATATTTAAATTGAACTACGGTAAGTTATTGAAGTAAGT